ATATTATATTATTATTATAATTAAAATATATATTACTTTTCTTTTTTTGTTTTGTTTTTTTTTATTTAATTATTTACGAGAGTACCATATCTATCATGTATGATATTTATCATTTAATATGGGTAGTTATATTGACATGAATGTAAATACACTCGTGTCAATAGTATAACCTAATGGTTATAAGTTTAGTATGTGATAAATGTAGAAAATGATGTATTTTTAATCTAACTTGGTCATCTATGGTGTCCAATAGTTTTGTTGTCAAGCTGTTGGGGTGGTTTCTCAATTGTTGTCTGTATGATTTATTGTATTTGACGTTTTTCTCTTTGACCATGAGAATACCAAGTTTTATTATTTATTTGTTTAATCGGAATCTACGTTCAAGATAGATCTCAATTTGTTACTTTATTATTTCTCAATTGATTTTATGTTTCATTTTAATATTTTATAAATTCTAACACGGTGAGAATGAGAAAACGTTACCTCTTGTTTCTACGTCGTTCAAAAACAAAATATAATGTGTCGTGTCGTATGTATAAATAATCTTTCCCTTCGTAAACATCTTACCTGATCGTTCGAGAATATTTTTCTACGTGTACTTGATAAAAGAAAAATTTCCTAGAATTTTTGTCGAGTGACATAGCCAATCGTTGCCTCGTTTGACTTTGACCTTTTCTTTTACCTACTTTTCTTTATTCCTTTGTACATTCAATCGTATAGATTATTATTACACGTAATAATCAAAATTATAATATACATGTTATGAAATAAACTTTTAAAAATAAAAATAAAAAACATAAAAACAACATAAAATGTATGTGTATCGAAAAAGCTATTTTTTGTTTTTGTATTTCTAAAAGATAGAAATTTTGAGATTTATTTTTCTTAATATTTAAATGATTAATATAAATATATGTATGTGTAAGAATATATATATATATTTATATTGATTCTTTTCGATTGTGAAATAATTTGAAAAAAAATAATTATTAAATGTAATCTTGAATTTTTTTGGATAAGTTCAATTAATATTCATATACATATTGAAACATCATATATCAAAACGTTAAATTTCAATTTTATATTTAAACTATTCGTCTCTTATAAATACAAGTTAATTCTGCTTCTTATTTGTACTTTAATCGATAAGTATAGTTATATTTCGAAGGGTTTAACTAATCGTTTCAAGAATTAACGCGAATGTTACAAATTAATATTAACATAATATATAAAACGATTATAAAACAATAACAGATCATTAGGGATTTTTTATGACGAATTATTCCACGATGAAATCGTAACGTTGTTAAAATTTAAAAAAAAAAAAAAAAAAGCACGAAATAATATTTAAATACAAATTACTAAAGTAGTCAACAAAATATTGAATTATTATCTTCTTCAGAGAGAACTTACACATTATCATTATTATTATTATTATTAAAATTTGTCGCATGATGTATGTGCGTATAGGGAAGGGGAATAAATTCGAGGTAAAAAAAAAAAAATCCGAAAAAGGGATGTTATCCCAACGAGGGAGGGATTTGTTATAAGAAAAATATAGTAGAAAAAAAGAAGAAAAAAAAAGTAGAAGAGGGAGGGAGGGAGGAGAGAGAGGGAGTGTATGTATCATTGGATAAAAAAATATAAGGGAGAAAAAAAAAATGGAGAAGAGGAGCAAGTGGGGAAAGGAAAATCGTATAACGAGTATTCCTGAGCATTCCCAGTGGTATTAAACGACTTCTTTCGATGATGGTGGGGGTAGTAGTAATGGATGGGGGATGAAAATACATAATGACGATTCCCGAGTGTGATAAAAGATCTTGTCTGAAAGTGGGTCAAGAGTACCTACGCGTTTCTTCCTTCGATTCATTTCGACACGTGCTTTTGATATAATTCACAATGATTTTAATAAACAAATCAAGAAATTTTTAATACAATAGGAAATGTAGATGAACAAAATGAAAATGCGAACTATTTATTAAATATTCTGATAAAGTATATTTTATATGTTTAAAAATATATATAAA